CAGAATTCGGGATTCGGGGAGTTAGAATTCGGGAAAATGACTACTCAGGAAATTGGATTTCGGGATATTGGCATTCGTGAATTCGGATGTTTCGGTAAAATGTCCAGATCGGGAAACTAACGTTCGGGAAATTTTACTTCGGGAAAAGTATATTCGGGGAATTGGCATTCGGGAACTTGTCTGATAAGGGAAGATTTCGATTATGCAACAATCATTGACGACTTTCAGGATTATTATGAAAAAAGAGATTATGAGCTGATACTGATATGATATAAAAAGTATTAGAAGCACCACAGTCTATTAAGTCAAAGTAATAAAGAATTTCTAAATCAAATGTATGGGATCATTTTGATCTTAATAATGATTTGTAAAGGATGCAAGACTTATTTTATTCATTAAAAGGAACTACTTTTTTTTAAAAAGACATTTATATTCTAAAAAAATTATAACACCTGTGAACTAAACGAAAATTATTTGAATGCAAACATGCCTTAAGGTCAATTAAATATTACAAAAATAATGTATTTAAATAGAGTGCCTGGTTATTTGGATCTATTGAAGTAATCATTTTTGGTACTTTTCCGTTGGAATATTATATGATATGCGTCGTTTGCTATTAAAATTAGGTTACGAGACATAGTAAATCATATGATCTGAACATGAGTTTAAATAGCAAACCTCCCATATGTTCATTTGGAATGAATGATGCTAAATAAATGTTATATTTTTATATAGTTACAGGAGTGATTAAATATCAGCCGATAGCCCCAGCCCAATAACTATGGTCTATTTAGGACCGATGATTGGATGAAAATGTCATGTAATTACATACGTCATGCATCGATCAGTAACGTAGACCGAAATCTTATAAAAGTACCTGAATCACATGATTTATTTAATCAGTGACTCGGATCAACGCAACGTAAATTTACTATAAAAAATTTAATATTGTTGCACAGCATCATATTAAAAAGGCAAATAACTTGCAAAAAAAATTTTTAGGGAATTTTCCAATTCTTTTAGAAAATATTTATGGAATTATTGAAATTATCTTCTAAAGTTTATCATGATATACTTGAATCCGGTGAATTTTATGATATCGAACTTTTAGTTGGTGAAGATTCAAATACTAAAGTTTTTAAAGCACATTCCTTAATTTTAAAAATACGTTCTCCTTACTTCCGTATCGCTTTATCAAACGATTGGTTAAAAAAAGAAAACGATGTTATTAAGTTTCAAAAACCTAATATTTCTGTTGAAGTATTTGGAATTATTTTAAAGTAACATATTTCTTAGATGTATTATCACATTAATCATTTAAAATTGAAACTAATTTATATTTTGAATTATTTTAGGTATATTTACAGTAGCACGATTGACCTCCCCAATAACGATATTAAAACAAATATTGCGATTTTAATTGCAGCTGATGAATTATGTCTTAACGACCTATGTACTTTTATTGAAGAATATCTTCTTGAGGATAAATCTTTGATAAGAAAAAATTTTGTTCTCTTTCAGGATGTTACAACTAGATTTACTCAATTTAGTAAATTGGTTCAATTCTATAATACTTCTATTCAACAAGATCCCTCATTAATCTTTAAAGCAGATGACTTCGTAACAATTAAACAAGAAATTCTCCTTGATATTCTAGAGAAAAAAAATCATTCTGTAGAACCAATTGAGATTTGGGATAAATTAATGGCATGGAGTATTGCACGATCTGATGAATTATCATCAGACACAACAAAATGGGAGCATAATGAAGTTTCAATTTTTGGAAAAATTATTCAACCATTTATACCACATCTAAATTTTAAGGAAATTAGTCCCGCGGATTTCGTTCAAAAAGTCAAACCATTCAAGGATGCCTTTGATAATGAATTTTATGTTCAGATTCTTGAATATTATTCTTTTTATAATAATACTCATTCAAAATTAAATAATAAATCTAGGATCGATTCTAGTATTATTGATTCTGAAATTATTAATTTCGACCAAGCCACATTAATTGGTAACTTAATTAAAATGGCGAAAAAAGATAAATATGATGCTTCTTATGATTTGACATTGCTTGTCCGTGGAAGCAGAGATGGGTTTGAAAAAGAAATTTTTCATGAGTTTTGTGATGAAAAAGGACCTACAATTACTATTGCTAGTGTTAAGAGTACGAACGAAATTCTTGGAGGGTTTAATCCTTTAAGTTGGAATTCAAATGAAGGACATAGCATAAATAAAGACAGCTTTCTTTTTTCTTTGGACCAAAAAACAAATAGTTTCATCTTCAGTAAAGTTTTTGATGAGGAAAATGCACTTTATAACGATGTTGATTATGGTCCAGAATTTGGAAAAAAAACAGCTGATTTACGGTTGCTTAAAGAATTTAAAAAAGGTCAATGTTTCAAGAACAGCTATGAAAATCTAATTAGAAAAGATGAGGGTGAATTCGAAATAGATAATTACGAAGTATTCAAGGTGTTAAGTAACACGTTATTTTTTTAAATTTGCAATGAATTAATGAATTAAAATAAATTAATTTATATATATATATAAAAAGGTATGAATTTGATTTTATTAATAATTTATTGACAATAATAGCAGATGAACTGAAAAGCAATCTATATCTTTTATAAAGCTCTGGCATTTTATTAATTGAAAAAATAAATTTAAAGGATTTGCATATCTAAATTATCTCGTCACCATCAATTTCTGAAGGATCTCGCATGCCATTTCAAGTAATTAAGGTTTTTCATATGAAGCTCAAACCCCCGATGCCCTAGAAAAAACTAGTAGAGGACATAACATACCCCGGCAAAGGAGATTATTGAATGGGACATAATTGTAATTTTACTTTTAATATTATGAATCAATAAAAATGTCTTTTTTTCTGATGGTATATCTGTTATAATAAACATTAATCAATAAAAAGTATCCACATTATGGTCAATATACATTAACCTGTATTAAAGTATTTTGCTACAGGTAATTTATATTGTAATATGATAATAAAAGTAGATTACTATAATGCCATGAAACAGAACTCGGTAAATCATTGTTAAATATTTAAAAGGTGCTGCTTTGAATGTAGTATTTTACAACAATTAATTATTTCTCAGGATAGGTATTCTATTAAAAAAAAATTTATTATTAATTTTTTTTTTTTTGGATTTACAACTTTTCTTAAAATACTTGAAATTTTTTAATTTTTTTTGGTAGTCAATATTGATTATTTGATTTATACATTCTTGCACGTCAATATTTCAATCGCAACTCTTCTATTTCGTCCACAATATCATTTTTACATGTGAGATATATTAAATAGTAGTGATTTTAAAAAAAACACCTTATTCTAAAGCAGGCATAATGTTGTCAGTATTATTATCCTTAAAATGTAAAAAAAAAAATTAGGAAATGCTTATAATGTAACAGCAAAATGAGAAAGCAATACACATATATCAAAGCGTAATTCTGTATTTCCCATAAATAAAGTGGTAATTAATTATTGGTACTCCAGCGGGAACACCTCCAGAATAATTACTAAAAAATAGATGGGCAAGAACTGATATCTGATAATTTGGCATGCTAAAAACCTTGCAAGCATATCACCAGATTTTAGTAAGCCAATAATTCGATGATTCGGAATACCGGTATTTCTAACAAATGGGTATAAAGAGGTGCCGTTCCAAATGAAATTGCGCAATGCGAGCATTGCGCGGGTGCCATCCTGCCGTACACTTTAAATGTCAAATAAATTTGAATATTCGTCTGCGCAGAAAAGTACACTTCCGCTAGATTATTTAAACTATCGAGGTTCTCTGTTTTTCCGATTTCTATAACCATTCTTGGATCTACAGCTCTGTTTCCTGGGTTTCTAGAATAAGTACGTATTTCCGGTGGGGCGTATGCACTATTTTGGCCAACAGTGTCACATCATAATAAATCATAAATATCAAAAATCCAACTAACCATCATGCATATCGAAGGCAATATCCTTCCTTTCCCTTGTCTAAACGGAAAAAGACGTTATACTTTTGTTCCTTATCACGAAATTTGAAATTTGAGGTAACTTTCAAGTGACACGTTGTTGTAAATACAATTTCTTTCATTTCATTAGTCCACGTTTCACTTTCATCTGTTTAATATTTTCTATTTCACTTTTTTTCCTGTCAAGTTCGAGCAATTGGTTCCTTGCTAAAGCAAATATTTTTTCGGGTTTTGCATCATCGAGAAAAAATTTTATTTTTCGATCAATGAAATGATTTTGTAATTGTTTATAAACATGCAACCGGAGTGATTATATGATATAAAATTTTGAACAATCAATAATGATTTCGTCGCCTTTAATAAAAAAATTTACTAATCGATAGTAATTTTAATGATATATATGCTCTCATGTAAAATCCGAAACTTGCCAACCATTTTCTTGGAAAATCAAAACCTTTTTCGGCAATTTCGCTGGAACTTTTTTCGTTGTTCTCATTAATGTGGAGTTATATCATAATTTAAAGGTAAATTAGTTAGAAAAGAAAGAAATAACTTCAACTGATCTGTTAAATTTTTATATATTCTACATATGGAGCGTTGTGGAGGAAACTATAAAAGTTTGCTCTTTTCTGCTGCAAAGCGTCCTTGTAAAGAATATTGATTAAATCTAAATTTTAATTTTTTTCAATTTTTTAATTTTTATTGGTGAATGAAAGCGTCCATAAAATGTGAAGTTACAAAATGAAAAAATTTTGTAACCTTGTTTGTTCAAACAAATTAATTTAATTCGTATTATTTTGTTAGAGTCAATCCATTAAGAAAAAAAATTGTACTGTAAATTTAACAAATTTAACAATGAATAATGACCCGATATTTGGGAATTTTAGATTTGGGACATAGATCATGAGAAAATCCTCCTATGAAACGCCTCTACAGGACTTGACAATTATATTGTTAATAAGATCAACGGCACCGACTCATTGCAGCTGAATTTCACAATTCGATTTAATGAGCAAAAAACAAAAATCAACTTGGTATCACGATGCAATCAACCCTATTCAAAATTTATATTGGAGCACTAGCTTTCGGTCACGGTCATTTAAACACACTTTTGACTGAACCGTCTGTTTGACCAATGAAGGCGTGATCCATGCTACGCCAATCAACTATAGCCCTATGAAAAATATTCGTTCACTAAATATCAAAAAAATGTGCATTTGTTTTTATCCGTTAAATGTAATGAATAATG